ACAAAACCTAACTGGTCAATGTTGATTAAATTGGGGATAACCTCCTTAAGACGATTTGCCAAAATTTGGGAGTAGATTTTTATGTCTATATTAATAAGGGATATAGGTCTATAGTTAGTGATAACTGATGGATCTATTTTTGTTATCGGAATAATAGATGCTAAGAGCATTTCATTAGGAAAAAGATTTTCAACTGAGGTCTCACAAATAGTTTCAGAAGGATAGAAGCAATAAGTCTTGATAATAATTTTTTATAGAAAATAGTTGAAAAGTCATCAGGACCAGGAGCTTTATTTGATTTAAGATTGTTTATTGCTTCCAAGACTTCCGTCAATAAGAATGGAGCATTAAGTAGATCTAATTTCCTTTGGTTTACTTTCGGAAGTTTGAGATTAACTAAAAACTCCTCCATTTCCTTATTGCTTTTTTCTACATCTTTTAGATTATATAGTGATCTGTAGAAATCTACAAATGCTTTAGCAATATCTTTTGGGGAAGTAAGATGTTTGTCTCCCGTATTTTTTTTATAGATTTATCTTTAAGGTGGTTCTTTTTTGAGAGTTTTTTCTTTGTTTTTTCTTTGTTTATTTTGTTATTGTTGTGGTACCACCTTTGTTTAAGGAAGGTGATATTTCTATTCACTGTATCAAATATTCTTTAATAGACTCCCTTAGGCTAGCTATTTCTTCCACTAACTTGTTGTTAACCATATCTTTATTTAGCCGTTCTTTAATTGGTAATTTAATCTTTAGCTCCTGTATAGTTCCTTCTTTTTTTCGTTTTGATTCTGAACCCAACTTTATCACTAGGTCCCTTGCATAACTTTTAAAAGTACACCACAATGTTGTGGTGGAAACTTCATCATTATTGTTCATCATATAATAGTTAAAAAAAACTATCTAATTCAGATGACAAGTTATCAATACTGATTCCAAGAGAGTTTCATTAAGTCTCCACCTATTCCTTGGTCTAAGGTTCTCTTTCAATTTGATATCTATAAATACTGGAGCATGAGCCGAAATAACTATAGACCCAATGTTAGATTTAGTAATTGCTCCTAATAATCCTGCTTTGACCAAAAACAGGTCTATACGAGAATAGGTCTGATGGACGTGTGAAAAAAAAATATGTAATCTTTTTTCACTCAGGATTTAAAATTCTCCAGCAATCGTATAAAGAGTTCCTACTTAAAAAGTCTGAAAACGCCAAGACATTGAACTTGTGAGACTTCTGGTCTCTAGTATGTTTATGACTTTTATCCACTCTAGGATCTACTACACAATTAAAGTCCAAGAACAACATTACCACAAGCAAACTCATCTACCTTCTCCATGATCTCATCCAAAAAAAAATACCGGGCTATATTAACAAATGTATATAAAACATCATTAATTTTTTTAGATAAGAATTAGAAATCTACCAGCTATGTCTTTAATTGAATGAACAAGTTCAAATTTAACTTTGTTAGAAATAATAATAGCAGTCCCTCTTTTTTTCCGTTTCCCTTCCAAATTCGCATTATATACTAACGGATATTTCTTGAACCTCTAAAGTTTATTTGGAGACTCAACCCAGTGGGTTTCCTGGATGAAAGCGATATCTACACTATTTTCAATCAGAAATTTGTATACTGCACCCCTTTTCTGAGGTGAAGTCAGACCCTGAACATTCCATGTAATCAACTTAAGTGAAGTCATAAATATTATTTATCTTGGTTAGCCATATGACGAGTCTTCCATCGATAACTAAAATAGCATAAAACATAACAACAACAAAAATTACAAAAATAAGTAAATCTAAACTAAGAAAGGACAAATGTCCTTTTCTAGAAGTGAAGTTAGGAAACATACTTGATATTACCCACTAGACAAGACCTACCAAAAATTGCAGGAAAGAGATCATGAGGGGAGGAGGTGGTAGCCTATAACTTAATTACCCCCACATAAAGGAGAAAAGTGAGAGGGGGAGCCCCCCTCCCCCCCCCCCCAGCAGAGATACCTAATACGATTTACACCGGTTCCCTCCTATTCGTGTTACACTTTTATTCGTGTTAAACTAATCAGAGGGAATTTTATCTATTAGAAAATTATCTCAAGATATAGTATTTGAAAGAAATACTTCCTATTGGGGCCAGATGTCAGAATAGTAAATCATTAAGACCTTTGTTTTATATGTATGCAGATATTACTCTCGCTAATTCAGATGGTTCTTTTGTATTTAACTCAGGCCCCTATTACATTAGTTTAAATACATACTTCCTATGTTATTAATTACTTTCTTTAAAAAGCAGCCATACTAACAAGATGTTATATTCTTAAAAAGTTAAGTGACTCATTATTGTATTATTATAGATTTGTATAGTCTTTCATAGGTATAATAATTAATGTGTCTATCATGTAGATACATCTTATGTAACTGTAACTCTATATGTGAAATAGCGTAAAGAAATTGTGATCTAAAGAAACACACATATGTCTTAATATTGGACCTCCCTCAAAGGTTTGGTCACAAAATGTGAAAGTTAAAATAACTCCCTATCATAATATTCAAATCTTCATTACATTCATAAAAAATCTTCCCATAATATTAGCCATGTGTATAATGAGAAATCCAACAAGTGACTATAACTGTTCTTTAAGTGAAAAAAATTAAGTGACTCATTACTATTTCATTTTAAATCTTACAGTCTAGTTCCTCGCAGAAACCTCAGCTGCCTTGATCTCCAGCATTTCTCCACCAAATTCCAGACTCTCCTTTTACCCATCTCAAATCTAACTTGTCCTAACTCTGCAACCTCACTCTACAACTCAACTCTCTCCTCTCAACTTGACATCATGGCACCTCCTACAATTAAACGCAGCAAGCACCCCCAATTACAACCCTGGCACACCAAACTGACCCGTTACCTCCAAAAATGTTCTAGAATTACTGAATGCTGCTGGAGAATGTCTCACTTTGCATCTGACTTCCTCCACTATAAATTTATGCTGTGCTCCTACAGCCTGACTCTTTCCGCTGCAAAAGTAAATCACTTTAACACCCTCATAAGTACACTGTCCCATCAACCCAAACACCTGTTTCACACTTTTGATGCTCTTCTTCATCCTTTTACGACCCCTCCTTCTACCACCTTGTCCGCCACAACCTTTGCATCTCACTTTACTGAGAAGATCTCTACAATTAGAGAAGAGATCTCTAATTTCTCTCCTTCCCCTACCAATACATCCCCCAACCCCACTCCCTCCACCATTCCACACCCATTCACACCTGCTACAGCATAAGAGGTTTCTGCTCTGCTCCAGTCCTCCCACCACATAACCTATTCCCTTGATCCTATTCCCTCATATATCATCCGCACTTTGTCTCCCTCTCTTGCTTTTCCTCTCTCTAAAATTTTCAATCTCTCCCTTTTCTTCTGGCACATTTCCCTCACCCTTCAAACATGCAACTGTAACCCCGATTCTAAAAAGCCCAGCCTTGACCCCAATACCCCATCCAATTACCGCCCTGTTTCGCTACTGCCATTTGCCTCCAAGATCCTCAAGAGAGTTGTATACACCAGACTGACTGACATTCTCAAATCCAATTCTCTGCTTGACCCCCTTCAGTCTGGATTCTGCACTGGTCATTCTGTCGAAATGGCTGTGATTAAAGTATCCAACGATTTAATTGCTGCTAAATCTCACAGACATTACTCTATCTTAATTCTCCTTGATCTTTCTCCTTGGCCTTTGGCTTCTCCACATTCTCCATAATTTTGGTCTACGAGATACTGCTCTGTCCTGGTGCTCCTCCTACCTCTCCCAGCACTCTTTCGGTGTTTCTTTCTCTGACTCTGCCTCTTCCCCCCAACCACTCTCTGTCCGCATTCCCCAAGGTTCTGTCCTCGGTCCCCTACTGTTCTCTATCTATACCGCCTCCCTTGGTAAACTCATCAGCTCCTTTGGCTTCTGTTATCATTTCTATGCGGATGACACGCAAATCTATCTGTCTTCTCCTGATCTCTCCCTGTCCCTTTTAACTAGTGTCTCTGACTGCCTCTCTGCTATTTCTAACTTGATTGCTGTCCACTTCCCTAAACTCAACTTGACCAAAACTGAAATTCTGGTCTTTCCGCCCTCAAGTGTTGCTACTCCTGTGTCTGTCTCCCCCCAAGTCAATGGTGCTACTATCAGCTCCATCACACAGGCTCGCTGCCTAGGTGTTCTTTTTGACTTCGACCTCTCCTTCACGCCTCATGTTCAGTCTATCGCCAAATCCCGCCGCTTCCACCTCAAAAACATTGCATGCATCTGAATTTACTTAACATCAGATGCGACTAAAGTGCTGGTCCATTCCACTGTCCTATCTCGCCTTGACTGCTGTAATCTGCTTCTCAGTGGTCTTACGTGCTCCCAACTTGCACCGTTACAGTCCATAATGAATGCGGCGGTGAGGCTCATCTTCCTTTTCCGCCCGCACCTCCCACGCCTCACCTTTCTGTCAGTCCCTACATGCCTTGGCTTCCTGTAAGATATAGGGCTCAATTTAAAATTCTGGTTCTTGCTTTCAAATCTCTACATAATGCTGCTCCCACCTATCTAGCCTCTCTAATACACAAGTATGTCCCGTCTAGGCAGGGATGTATTTACAATGAGGCAAACAAGGCATTTGCCTTGTGCGGCAATTTCAAGGGGGCAGGAAAAAACACCACCCCCAAATGCCCAGGCAAATACCTTGTTTGCCTCGTTTTATGGGAGCCCAAGAGCTGGCCGACTGGCCACCTTTGGGCTCCCCCGGGGCAGGCGGGCAGTGGTTTCCTGGGCGGGCGGCGAGGGAGCACTTTCCCCTGAGCTCTCTACTCAGCTCCCTCACGCGACCCCCAGTAATGCCGGGAGCAGGAATATGACATCATATTCCGGCACTCGGCATCACTCTGCGGCGTGCGAGGGAGCTGAACAGAGAGCTCAGGGGAAAGTGCTCCCTCGACGCCTGCCTGCATGCACATCCAGCCACCTCCCTGCCAAGAAGCCCCACTGGACCCCAGATGAGAAATCCACCCAGCTATCCCAAACGTAGGGAGGCTGGGTGGATTTAATTTTTTAAAATAAATAATAATAAAAATAATTGTGTGTCAGTGAATGTGAGTGACTGAGTGTGTGTTAGTGAATGTGAGTGAGTGTGTGTCAGTGAATGTGTGTGTCAGTGAATGTGAGTGAGTGTGTGTGTCAGTGAATGTGAGTGAATGTGTGTCAGTGAATGTGAGTGAGTGTGTGTGTTTCAGTGAATGTGTGTGAGTGTGTTTCAGTGAATGTGTGTGTCAGTGAATTTAAGTAAGTGTATGTGTCTGTCTGTCAGTGCATGCGTCTGTCAGTCAGTGCGTGTGTCTGTTAGTGAGAGTGTGCATCTGTCAGTCAGTGCGTGTGTCTGTTAGTGAGAGTGTGCATCTGTCAGTGAGTGCGTGTGTCTGTTAGTGAGAGTGTGCATCTGTCAGTGAGTGTGAGTCCGAGTAAGTGTATGTTTGTCTATCAGAGTATCAAATCAGTGAATGTGTGTATGTCATTGTTTGTCAGTGTATATGAGAGTGTGTGTCTGTCACTGAGTGTGTGCGTCTGTCAGTGAGTGAGCGTCTCTCAGTCAAAGTGCGGCCTTGACAGGAAGGGGTGGGGAAAATTTAAATTAGGGGGGGTGCCCGAGCACCATCCTGCCTAGGGCAGCACAGAACCTAAATACACCTCTGCGTCTAGGCCCTTATGCTCTTATGAAGACTTACGTCTATCTTTTGTCCGTACTCGGACTCGGACCTCTGATGCTCCCCTTCAAGACTTCTCAAGGGCTGCACTGTTCCTGTGGAACTCACTTCCCTCCTCCGTTAGATGCTCACCCAGTCTCCACTCCTTCAAAAAATCATTAAAAACCCACTTCTTCATAAAAGCATTTCAATTAAACTGTTGATAGCTTCCGACTGATTCATCGCTTTCAACTGTCACTATTCTAATACTATCCTTACCTTTAGTGTCATTTTACCCCACTCCCTCTAGCATGTAAGCTCATTGAGCAGGGCCCTCAACCCCTCTGTTCCTGTGTGTCCAACTTGTCTGGCTACAACTACATGTCTGTTCGTGCATCCACTTTAAAGTGCTCTGGAATTTGTTGGCGCTATATAAATAATAACATAACAATAACATCAAACTGATCAGCAACAACTGATTCTAGAACACCTCTCAGTTTTATATTGCTCCTTCCGGATCGATCCTCCAAATCGACTACTTTGGTCTCCAATATGTTAATATTCTTTTCCAGTTGCTTGTACTTGAAAATTAGATCTTAATTATTTTCTTGTATTTTTTTGAGTATATCGGATTGCAGTTGCAGTTTGGAGGAAAATTGAGATAACACCAAACGTAGAATACTAGACATGTCTTCAAAGTCCTGTTTTAATCTAAGGTTCAAGTGCTTCATTGAGTATTTGCTGTGTAATATTATACTGGGGAGACACTGAGTGAGCTTCCTGAATTAAATTTAAAGGTACAGATTCTCTGCATTTCTCGAAAGATGTCCTTTTAACAAGGGTTTACTCTTGGGATTTAGGTGAATAATACAAGATGATATTCTTATTTTTCTTTGTATTGTATTGGTTATAGGGATGCACCGAAATGAAAATTCTGGGCCGAAACCGAAACCGAAAATGACTTTTTTATCCAAATGATTTTAAAATGGTAAGTATTTATTTAACAGCAACCTGTTACTTCAAACAAGCTTGATTGACAGCTCAGTGAGTCCTTCTTGGGCTGATGTTAGCCAGTCCATCCACCCAGCCAGAGAGCTGTGCCACCCATATGACCGTGCCCCCCCATCCACCCATAGACATGTGCCTCCATAGGACTGTGCTCCACATCCAGCCAGAGAGCTGTGCCCCCATAGGAATGTGCTGTCAGTGGCTCTCAGTCAGTGTATGCCAGATTAACCCTGTCTAGCCCAGAGGCAAATCTAACCAGCTTGTGGCTGCGACTCCTGCGCAGATCGGTGTGGTCGCCGTCCCTCCTGCAGCTTCCGCCACGGCCCCGTTCTCTTGCTCGTCCCCTCTGCTGCTCTACACGTTCAGCATGGCGGATGGGATCCTCGCTGCGGGCGGGATCCTCGCTTGATGCGATCGGGTGCTCAGTCCCGTGGCCTCCATGGTGAGTCACACATGATCTCAGCACACACAGGACGGCCCACATGTCCCAGCCAGGGTGGAAGGCGTTGTTTTGATTCCACTGAAAGCAGCCATGGACTAGGTCACTCTTTGCATCAGCCTCCACGTGCACCAAGACAGACTGCAGGACATCTTGCAGCCGCTTAGAAGATAACTCCCTAATTCCCACAGTATTAGGGAGCTATCTACCAAAAGGCTGAAAGACGTAAATTGATCTTTCAGCCACATTTACTAATACTAAGTAAAGATTACTTAGTATTAGTAAATTCTGCCCCTACTCGCTATATTGCGAGTAGGGGCATGTATAGTAAACAGTGAACAGCCAGTGGCTAAATGTGAATGTTGGGGGGGGGACGACCTATTGTCCTCCCTCCCCCAGCCCCCACCCCTGAGCGGCGGGTGGGTGCCCTAAAGGATAATGAGGGGGGGTGGACCTATTGTCCTCCCCCCCTGGCCCGCACCCATGTACGGCGGGTGGGGGCCCTAAATAACAATAAGGGGGGACCCCTATTGTCCTCCTCCCCGGCCCCCACCCCTGAGCGGCGGGTGGGGGCCCTAAAGGATAATGGGGGGGAACCTATTGTCCTCCCCCCCTGGCCCCTACCCCGAGCGGTGGGTGGGGACCATGAATAACAATAAGGGGGGGACCTACTGTCCTCCCACCCAGCCCCCACCCCTGAGCAGTGTGTGGGGGCCCTAAATGAGAATGTGGGGGGGACCTATTGTCCTCCCCCCGGCCCCCAACCCTGCACGGCAGATGGGGGCCCTAAATAACAATAAGGGGGGACCTATTGTCCTCCCCCTGGCCCCCACCCCTGAAAGGTGGGTGGGGGCCATGAATGAAAATGGCCCCCAAGGTGACAAGGGCCCTGCAAGGCCCCCCCAAATAAAAAAAAATCCCCTGTCTTCTTTTTTTTTAAAAAATCTTCATTTTTCAGCCCCCAAAAATGCCAAATAAAACCCATAATACCCGCCATAAATAACAATAACAGGTGGGACGGGGACATACTGTGTGGAGGGCATTTTCATTTAGGGCCTCCAACTGCCGCTCAGGGGTGGGGGCCGGGGGGGAGGACAATAGGTCCCCCCCTATTGTTATTTATGGCCCCCACCCACCGCTCAGGGGTGGGGGCCGGGGGGAAGGACAATAGGTCCCCCCTTATTGTTATGCATGGCCCCCACCCACCGGTCAGGGGTGGGGGCCAGGGGGGAGGACAATAGGTCCCCCCTCATTTTCCTTTAGGGCCCCCACCCGCTGCTCAGGGGTGGGGGCCGGGGGGGACATTAGGTACCCCCCCTCATTTTCCTTTAGGGTCCCCACCCACCACTCAGGGGTGGGGGCCAGGGGAGGACAATAGGTCCCCCTTTATTGTTATTTATGGCCCCCAACCACCCCGCAGGGGTGGGGGCTGGGGGTGAGGACAATAGGTCCCCCCATTATCCTTTAGGGCCCCCACCCGACGCTCAGGGGTGGGAGCCAGGGATGGTAACTAGGGCTTTTTGTTTTTTAACAGTGCGCAACCACAGGCTGCTCACTATTTAGTACATGCTATACCACGCGTAGGGGCATTCGGGAGATTTTAATTTCAATATGACCCCCATAGAGTGAGGGAGGACATGGGGGGCTTAGGAAGTGCTCCCCGCCGCTTCTATCTTTACATTTTACGCCGGTAGCTCCCTCCTTGTAATAAACTGAACGAACAAACGAACACTGATATTCAGTGTTTGTTTGTTCGTCTGACATTTCTATTCATTTATTCGTCTTTCTGACGAATGAATGGATGGAATTCCCGTTCGCATGCCCAAGTGTTCCCATTCGCACACAAAGATGGCGGCGCCCTGAACATAGGTCCGGACACAAAATAAAGTAAAAAAATAGGTAATATGGGGGCTTAGGGGCATTTGGTGACTAGGGGATCAGTTAGATGTAGTGGAGTCGGGAGGGGGGGTTAAAAAAAAGGGATTCGGCCATGACAATGCCGCTTTATTTAGTTTTTATGTCCACAGACCAGTTTACTTGATCTTTCTCATCATTCAGTTTATAAATATTTCACCATCGACTGGTTTCAATGTAGCAATTCAATGTTGCACCTTAGAAATATGTAGCAACTTGATAACAGTTTATTGTAGCTATGCTACTTATATTCAATACAGGAGATTTAGTATAGTAAAGCCAGCCGGTATAGCCAGTTTATATTACCACTTATCTGCAGGCACAGCTTAACTTTCCTGCTTCATAGCTTCACGGCTTCCTGACTTCACGGTTTCCACTCTCCAGACCTTCCTATTGCGTCTCACCGCCGGTAACCGGTGCAAACAGGAGAATGCGTCCTCCACGAGTCCAACAGACAACTAGCAGGTTTTGTATGGACAAACAAAGCTCCTTCAATTGACTTTGTTACTAGCTGGCTAGCTGCTTCTTTCAATAGCTACCGCGGCTGCTTCAGAAGTTACTCTGGCGTCTGCATTTACCCCTTAGGCACAGCTTCTTGGAATCACCTCCTCGTTCTTATAGCTTTGTGAAGGCGGGAGCGTGCACGTTCACGTGTCACGTCACCCCCTGCCTCTGCCACACTTGACATCGCCTTTTTTAAGAGAAAGCTTCTGGAGTATCAGAAGACTAAATAGTTTATGAGCAAAATTTTATTATAATGAAAAATCTTTAAAAGGTTTGTGCTACAGCGCAACATTTTTTAGTGGGGGTTCCACGATGTTGGGATACTATGTCAAAAAGTTCCACCGGAAAAATTTATTGTGAACCCTTGCTCTATACTAAAAGCCATCCCATACAACTCTAAAAACAAACTGCATCTAGTAAACGTGAGACACAGTAAGTCTCATTTTTATCTGAAATGCAAAAGCATTCACTGTAGGGACTAAAATCAAAACTCTAACTAATTATTTGAGTTTACATTTAATAAAGTTTCCTACAATCAGTGTCCTAGTTTTTATTACATAATCCTAGTCTCTTTATAGCCTCTTCACATTCTGTTTGACCTTGTGTCTTATTTGATACTATGGACAGTTTTAAGTGACTATTCTGCCACCTCCACATTTCACTCACTAGAAAAATGCACACGTCAGTTTCGCTAAAGCTTTATAGCTAAAAACTCTTTTAATGTACTATACATTGACATTTCTGTCATATTCTACCTATGGATAAAACAGTATTTAGAGAAATTGTTTTTAGACAATTACTATAGGAGAAAATACAAATTTCATGGATAAAATATATATTTTGAAAAAAAATAATTATTACATGGCTAGTATCTGCTCAAATGATAACCATTTATATTTTATTTTTATTTAATTTTTTTAAAAATTCTTTATTTTTGTAGTGCTGATATAAGAGTACACGATAGGTGAGGCACATTATCCTGCGTTTGGTTGATAATATAGATCTATAACATATGTCATAAATACTGCACATTTTTAAAGGTAAAGAAATCCAATGTAAACAAGTGGAACAATATGGCATGAGCAATAAAGCGTTAGGTAGGACAATAATACAAGATAAAGCATGCAAGAGTGAGTAAAGACCCCTGGGCCCCCAGAAATACGTAACCAGTTGGAGGAGAAAAAAAATTATACAAAAAGGCAGTTACTGGGCACCCTAGTCCCCAAATAGAGATTATCCAGCTCCCACTACCGGCAGGACACAGTCCCCTTGTCCAGATGTAGGCCAGTTAGGGAACAGCCGTTCAGCCACCTGGTCAGTCAGCAATGCTCGAGGATGAAGATTGATATGTTGCTAACTTCTGTGGTGTAGCTTGTCGAGTATCAGCCGTGCAGTGGAGGCAGGGACAGCAAAGCCAGGTGTGGAAAAGCGATAGGTATCAGTAGGTGCTGCAGGCGGCCTGCCAGAATTAGAAGTGTAGCCCAGCTTAGTGGGTGTCCTTTGCCCTGAGAAAGACCACCTTCTCCATAAGGTATAGTAGTAACTCAGCCACCATTTTGTGTAGCAAGAGTGTCCTCCAGTAGCTGATAGGGCTGATGATAGGGTACCAGGGTGGACAGGACAACTCCCACTGGTCCAAAGGGGGGGGATGTGGAGACAGGGTCAGTGCCGAGCAGAGTGATGGGTTAGGCTCTTTTCCGACAGGCAGGATAGCAGAGAAGAAGAAAAAAAACAAAAAAAAAAACCCCTGCGAATTTCATACAATAATATGACAGCATCATAAATGAGAATGGGAATTCAAATTTCAAAATTAATTTAGAATTTAAGATTAAAATAGACAAACTGGAAAAATCCTCCAGTTCAGCTATGCATCCAGGTTGGCCACATTGGCCTTACATTTGAAGTTCACTTTGAATTCTCAACAATTCTCATATTAATAAATAACCTTGAATGTGTAGTGTTCTTAATAAATCTCCACCACTGTTTCTAATTCTCAACCTGTCTGTGCCTGAATTGAACTGGATTGTCATGTCATTTCCTAAATCTTGAATATAAATATATAAGAAGACAGAGTAACACATGCCGTCCATGTCCAGTTTCTGTCTGTGATCATTCAATCTATTAGGGGATCTAATAGCCAATAATAACAACCATATATTGTGCTCCTGTAATAAAGAGGTGGAAAGGACCTTTATATCCAAGATATATGTATTTTTCTTACAATAAGTCGAGCAATACAAGCCAACATATCACTGTATCATATATAACGCCTCCAGTAATACTTTATTGAACCAGAGAAAAGGGGTTGCAATTTACAAAGATACTCAAAAAAATTAATAAAACACAGAGGAATATTAGTAAAGGTATTTTGGAATCCCAGGAATCATATTACTGAATTGCATATACTATTAATCTTAGCGAAAATTAGTTTTAAATAGATTTCCGGTAAAAGTAGTCATTTTGGAAAAAAAAATAGATGTGATTATATAAAACAACTGACTGCAAAAGCTTTTTGTGTAGATGGATATAATCATTCTTTGATGTGCTAACATCCTTTTTCCAGCCATAAAGCAGTCTCTTTCATACAACCACGTTAATCAATACTTACTGATGCGCAGAGCAATCTATTTGTTATGTGCTAAGCAAGAACACATTTCCTATGAGTGTCTCCAGCTGGTTCATTCCACTGTACATTTTCTATAGTAATCCTGCTAGAACTGAGATAGCAGAAGGATATTGATGAATTTTTGTCTGTCGTAATTGACATTTCCCTTAATTGTCATTTTTTTCTTCTTGTATGGATTGTATTTAATGTTCCAATGCTAAATTTATTCGTTTTTTTCACTGTGTGATGGATCCAAATCCCAACATAGTAAACAGTGCGATTTGCATGGTAAAAATTTAATGTGGGCTTATTCACTAAACATTAAATTATGGCAAGTTGACAACCAAATTGAAAGTTGAGATTCCAATAGCTAAATTGAATAAAATAATTAAAACAAACTAATAGGTATTTTTCCATCTCTATAAATTTTCTACTCTTCATTTTGTAGATTGTTAGTTATTCACCACCATTCAAAGGCAGACCTGCCAAGTCACATGACAGCTTCATGTGTCACCCAATGCCGGTAGGACTGGTGGAAAGTGCACTTCAAGAGTTTGATTATCCCTTCTCGTTCTACACTAGAAGTGAATTAAAACCCACGTGTGATTGCAGAACTTGGTGTATGGGCTTTGCTGATTGCCTGTTTTGCCAGGTAGCCTGCCATCTTGGCATGACACACTCCCTTTAGAGAATATTTGGCATTTAAGGTGCAATTAGCATCATTGCTCACTTATCAAGTAACCCTGCTTTCCCACACCTCTACAGACCTCTAGCTGGCTGAACTTGGCAGATATGCGAAGGGTTGATTAAATGAAAAATCTCATGAAGTTGTTATGGTGCCTGGATGACATCTTTCCTTAAGTGGTTAAATTAGTTACAAACAGTTTAACACGAAAGTTGTCCAGATGGTGCCTATTCGCTCCGCCTCTTTTCTTCTGCCTCGATCCCGGCCTTAGTCCCTCTGTCCCCAGTAGTACTTTCTCATGCATTTTCTCAATGGGAAGTCAGTCAAAGACTGAGATTTCCCAACCCATCTTCCTTTGATTTTGTCCACGGCTTGAATGTGGAAGCTTCCGAATGGGCACCAGTGAACATCAGCCTTCCCGCCTCACCCCTCCCTAATAGAAACATAGAATGAGATGGCAGATAAGAACCATTTGGCCCATCTAGTCTGCTCAATTTTCAAAATACTTTAAATTACATTAACATGACATTAACAGCATTCTATCACAAGTTCAGCCAAAATACATTCATACTGCAAGGCATCTCGGAATGCAGTGTGATTTCCTCATGCCTCCAAATGTCACTTGAAAAAGGTGCATGGTGTTAAATCCATCTACATTACTTCCCCTGGATTTTAAAAGAGGGGATAGGTGATTGTCATTCTGATCTTTTTGTAAATTCTCTGTCACCAGATGAGTTAGCTGAAGCTCAGCTACTCCATGACTGTGCAGCATGAATGGCACAAGAGACAGCAGGTTTTTTCTCATGTAATTGATTCTCCATTGTCTAATCCAGACTTTGAATTTCTTTGTAGATGGTTCCAAATATGCTGATGAAAAGGGCTATTTCCACACTGCATTTGCTGTAGTCTCTGCACATGAGGTATTTAAAGCTGAACCCCTCACTGCTCTGCACAGGGGGCTGAGCTGAAGTCACTAACTGAAGCGTGCAAACTGGCCTCTGGTAAGACAGCTAATATTTACACAGACTCTCGCTATGCCTTTGGTATAGCCCATGATTTTGGGCCTATATGGTGGGCTCGGGATTTTCTCACCTCAGGAGGAACTCCAATTAAGAACTCTAAAGCCGTGAGTACCCTTATGGACGCTTTACTGCTACCCACTCAAGTAGGCATCATCAAGGTGGCAGCTCACGTGAAGATCACAGATAAAATTACTAGAGGAAATCACAAAGCAAACGAAGCTGCCAAGCAAGCAGCGATCCAACTTCAACCTTCCACACTCTTAGGTAATACCTCCCTACAGGTTGTCCTTATAGACAATGCTATTGCTACAATATACTGTTCAGCCTGCAGAAGCAAGCAAGCAAAGAAGAACAAGACCTCTGGAGGAAACAAGATGCAGAACCTGATGATGACAAGATGTGTAGAAAAGATAAAAGACTATGTTTACCACGAGTTCTATACCCTATGATGGCCCAGATGGCCCATGGACCAACCCATTTGTCCAAAATGAACATGAACTGTATAGTAAGCACCAACTGGGTGGCACCTGGGTTTGCCATTGTAACAGCTAAACACACCCAGGCTTGCATGAATTGTGCTAGAAATAACCACAGAAAAGCTGTCAAAACACCAGGTAAACACATACCAAGGCCACTTTACCAGTTTCAGCAACTGCAGATAGACTATATTCAACTTCCTTAAGTTCGAACATGAACTGTATAGTATAGTGCATTGATCTCTTTTCAGGTTGGCCTGAGGCCAACCACCCCCAAAGTAGTGGGAAAGTAGAAAGGGCAAATATCACTTTAAAGAATAAAATCGCAAAGGCTATGCAAGAGACAGGGAAACCCTGGACTTAATGTCTCCCCCTAGCACTCTTCTCTATGAGAGTCACCCCCATCCTAGAAGTTGTTTGTCTCCCTTTGAAATTCTGTTTGTTTGTGCCACAAAGACAGGACTCTATTTCCCCCAGACACTCCAATTACAACATAGTAACATGACCTGCTATGTCCAAGTCCTCCATAAGAAGTTAGGGCAGGTGCAAAAACAAGTGTTTGATTCTATTCCAGATCCAGACTCCAGTCCTACCACTCATAAACTACAACCTGGAGATTGGGTAGTGATAAAAAGACAAATGAGAAAAGGACTTGAGCCAAGATTTGATGGTCCCTTCCAAGTATTGCTAACTACAGCTACATCTGTGAAACTGGAAGGTAAGCCCACATGGATACACACCAGCCACTGCAAACAAGTGCACCTTACCGATCCTCCATCATGAAAGTGTTCTTATCCTTTACCATTGTATGCTCTGTTCAGTTATGCTACTATGACTTGAGACCAGAATATAATAATGTATGGCAGGGAAATATATGGATGCAGATATCAAAGGCTTTTAATCTAACCTCATTTTGCCTCAACTCTCTCCTCAGTACTGAAAACACCACACAATCTTGTCTTATAGCTGTCACTACCCCCTCTCACTATTGGAGAAGTACCTACATACTCAAAACCCCATAAAACGCTACAACTACATTCTTATGCTTTCAACCCACTGGTAGGCAATCCCCTCTTAGCCCTGAAAACAATGAATGTGACAGCCACTGAACTATGTTGGTCTTTTTCATGTGATTGTTCAAGAGACCCTAATACTAAATCCCTGTTTTGCCCCACATGGTGGATAAATACCACGAATTGTAGAGCCAAACTCACTAAGTTATGAGTTACCATCACCATGTCTATCTCCCTAGAGGATGGACTTTCTCCTGTGGAAATGTTACTTATGCTTATGTCCCAGGTAACATTACAAGAGGTCCCTGTGCAATCTCACGCCTAACCATGACCATGTTTTCCAAATCTGACCTGACCTCTGAAACCACTCAGCTACGCAAACCTCAGAGAGACACGTGAGGTGTTAAAAACACCCTTACTTTGGATTGTAACCCTGAAATCACTCTCTTATCTCTCTTATCTAAATCCAGATACTCTGCCCTTGCGTACTTCATAGTAGGAGCCCCAGGTTTAGCACTGTATAACACCCGGATAATTAATGCCCTAGCCTGTTCCTTTGCCAAAGGTTTAAATGCAACATTCCAGGCCATGGAGGAACGTATACTGGATACCCAAGTTAAAAAGAAATCGATCCTTGAAAATAGAGCAGCTATTGATTATTTATTGTTGAAACATGACTTAGGATGTAAAGCTGTTAAGGGTATGTGTTTTAACCTCTCTGACCATGATACACGAACACATACAGAACTTACACAACTTAGTGAAAGAAATTAAGCAAGACACCGGGTTCTTTGAGGATTGGTATTGGACATTTGGACTGGGAACATGGTTGAGTTTATTGATTAAGAAAATGTTGTACTTGTTGTTACTATCTGTGTTTATCATAATGGCGATTTTTCTCACTTTAAAGCTAATTTCTTGTCTACTAACGTCTATGTGTAAAACCAAATCTACTGTTGGTCAAACCTTAACCTGTATGCCAGTTTCCCCTAGTTCTGGAGTCTACAGCGATTAACTGATGAAGAGAAATCTCCTCCGCTGGTTCTTGGGTTGCCCAGTCTAAGGGAACTGTGGTGAACATGTAATGAAAGTCCCACAGGTGTGACTAGCACACCTGGAAATACCTTGGACAATCGGATGACCCTTGGATCAAAAGAGGGGATTGTGAAGGAATACACCTTGATTCCAAGGCTCAAGCTACAGATGCCATTTTCGGTTCAGTCTGTAATAAAATTGGCTAACCTGGATCGTGATATGCTTTACGTTTAAATGAACTTTGTCCGCTATTAGTTCTTCTTCCCTGTAAAAACTAGACCCCACCGGAGTACTTCTTGTAGACTGCTTACATTTAGAAATATATCTTACATTCCTTTCCTATGACTGTTTAAAAAAACAGTAAGTATGTTTCACACGTAAGCACATATCCCCCACTGTATAAAACTAATTTCCCCCAATTAAAGCTAGAAGCATCTTTTGATATGCAATCGCCGTGTGTCTTATTTTGCTTACTCCGAGCGCTTGAACTAACAATTTGGGTTCCCCTAAACATATCTTTGGATTATAATTTTTATCCATAACATCTCCCTGAAGTAAACCCATGTTGTCTCTGATCTTGAAATCTATGTGATTTTAGATGTTCAAGAATTCTGTACTTTAACATGGTTTCCATCAATTTCCCCACTACTGAAGTAAGGCTTACTGGCCTGTAGTTGCCCGACTCCTCCCTACTACCTTTCTTGTGAATGGGTACTACATGCGCTTATTTCCAATCTTCTGGGACTACTCCTGTTAATAGTGATTGGTTAAATAAATCCGTAAATGGTTTTGCTAGTACACCACCAAGTTCTTTTAAGAACTTTTGGGTGTATCCCATCACGCCCCAGCAACTTATTTGTCTTTAATCTTGACAGTGAAATAGAACCTCTTCCTCTGTAAACTCACATGTACCAAATGCCGCATTTGTCCTTTTTCTTAACTGAAGTCCCTCTTCTTCATTTTCATCTGTAAATACTGAACAAAAATATTCATTAAGGCAGTCAGCTAGACCTTCATCCTTTTGTTTTTAATCTGACTAATCCTAGTTTTACTTTTCTTTTCTCATTTATGAATCTAAAAATGTTTTATCCCCCTTTTTTATTGGCTGTGCTATTCTCTCTTCTGTGTGTGATGTGGAAGCTCTTATAACTTGCTTTGCCTCTTTCTGCCTAATCTTACAGATCTGTCTGTCTTCCTCACTCTGTTTTTTTTAATAATTACTAAATGTTAACTTTTTAGTTTTTTTTTTTTTTATATTTTGGCCACTTCTGCAGAGTACCACAGTGGTTTCTTAATTTTTCTGCTCTTCCTGACAAGCCTAATGAAAATTTCTGTTGCTTTTCATAAATGCAACTTTTAAATAATCCCATTTCTCCTGGACTCAATTTAAACTGCTCCAATCTGATAAAGACTCCTTTACGCATATTCTAATTTTAGAAAAGTCTGTTTTTCTAAATTTTATTCGGCTAGATTTTATGCTATCTGTCACATACATGGCCACCCCTCCCATTTCTTGCCTTCTCTGTCTTTTCTATATAAAGAGTACCCTGCTATTGCCATATCCCAGTCACATTTCTCATTATACCATGTCTCAGTAACAGCCAGTTAATCTACATTCTCAGTTGCCATTATTGCCACAAGTTCATGGATCTTATTCCCTAAACTGCGAGCATTTGTAGACATGACTCTAAGCTTATCATTTTTAACACACTCACTACAGTTACTTTCTGTCCTTGTTTTAGGGGGGCAATTGGATTGATGTTTTATCACCCTTTTGTCCCCCCTCCTAATTTAAACACTTCCTAGCAAAACCTCTGAATTGCTAGCTGAGAACATTTGTTCCCTTTTGAGAAAGATGCAAACCATCCTTTTTGTACAGTTCATTTCTATTCCAAATAGAGCTACCATGAGAAATAAAGCCAAATCCTTGCTCCCGACACCATTCACCAAGTTACTAAAGTCCCTAATACGCATCTGCCTGTCATTCTGAATGTTATGCACAGGCAGAACTTCAGAGAATGACAGTGTGAACACAACCTGCCGTATATCATTGGCAAGAACACTAAAAACTTCCTTTACCTCAGAAACCTCATTACAAGCCAAATCATTTGTCCCTAGATGGACAAGTACATCCAATTCCCCTTCCTGCTTTGCTTGCTTCACAATATTACAAATACGTCTCCTATCTCTGTGAGCAGTAGCTCCAGGAAGACATCTCACAAGGCCACTATTGTCCAGCTCCACAACTCTTATGAAAGAATCCCCCAACAACAACTACCTTCTATCAGGCCTCAGCTTGTCCTTTTTGTCATTGGCTGCACTTTTGCTCACCCTAGGCATTGAGGATGGTGGTTCCACAAACTCGGTGCCTTAGCCTGACTCCGTAACACCACTACAATCTGAAAGTGCAGAAAATTAATTATTTAAAGACACATACTGTGCAATATGCCGTTTATCCACAATTCTAAGTCTACCAGATCCTACAGTAATCCATCTGCCATTCCTAGGACATCTATGCGGCAGTGAATTTGCAACAGTCCCAGCCTGAGTTTGTTTAACAGATAATTTACAAATCTCTGACTTCAAAAATGCAATCTCCTGCTACAATATAGAGAACTCTCTACAGATTAGACAACATACCTCCAAAAAGTGGAGCATGAAACAAATGCGCAACAACTATTACACTGAACTAAGTCTGCCATTTTAATAAGATGAGGAGTTTAAATCAAACATCTTAATTTTTGTTTCATTTTTTTCCCACCTTCTGTGTCCGTAACGCTATTCTACCCCAAATTTGTGTCTCTCCCTGTATACCACCCCCCATTATTAATCGGTCTCTCTGTTCTACCTCTACTTCCCTCCTTTCATACCCAAATTAAACTGTTTAAGGAATTTTTTTATATACATTTTGGGTCTTTCTGGTGCACAGAGACTGAATTAATGCTGAATTAATATTTCCACATTATCCATATCATTTTCGTCCAATCTGGATGGTGGTGATTGGCTGAGAGTGCTGGGGAATGTTAGCTGAAAGCACTGGGTGCATGTAATACAATAACAAGGTTACAGGCAAGCTGACGCATAAGTAAATTTGCATTTACACATGGGTCAATGTGTTCCAATTAATATGCATATGTCTCATTGCCCTTTATATACTTGCTATAATGTCTCTATAACTACTACAATTACTGTACCTCCTGTCTATTGTAATGCAAACTGATCAAGACATATGTTTACTAAATTAATAGAAAATATATACAAATTAGAAAAAAATGATAAGACAACAAAGAATGACAGTAATGACAGTTACCAAATTATAATGCACAATGAAAATCTCTAAAAACTGATATATAATATATATCTACCGTATGTATATCTCTACCAGTAAGACAGCTGTCTATGTACTATTTACTGTTTAAAAAAGTGTGGTTATTTTTTGTTTTGGCCGCTAGATGGCGTCATTTCATGCTTCCAATTTAGATGAAACAGTGCTTCAAAAACCATAATAATTTATTATCATGATTACTATTAAATGAACACTATACTCACCTAAATTACGTTAGCTAAATAAAGCGGTTTTAGTGTATAGATCATTCCACTGCAATTTCACTGCTCAATTCACTGTCATTTAGGAGTTAAATCACTTTGTTTCCGTTTATGCAGCCCTAGCCACACCTCCCCTGGCTATGATTGACAGAGCCTGCATGAAAAAAAAAAACTGGTTTCACTTTCAAACAGATGTAATTTACCTTAAATAATTGTATATGCAGTGTAGCGAATTAGTATTATTAATATAGTGTTACGTTGGTATAATATTTAGCATAATAAATTGAAAGTTAAAATGTAAAATGATAAATTGATTTTAAAAGAGCCAATATTTAGATGTTTTGTGCAATGCACGACACACAATGTGATAATAATGCAAATAATAAGGCACACCTCTGAATCTTCTACTTGCAACTCCTCTAACAACGTTTCTGTTAAAGTGATTTTGCCTTTACGCTGAAAGCAACAATATGAATGGTTACGCTTGGACTCCCCTACAAGGTTTACCTTGATGTTGTCAGGGATTGCTGTTCACCATCATGTTGGCAAGTGAACTGAACATTGTAAACTGATGCTTTACTGTGCTATTTAACCCCTTAAGGACACATGACACGTGTGACATGTCATGATTCCCTTTTATTCCAGAAGTTTGGTCCTTCGGGGGTAAAAGACATACATTGTGCTTGGAGTAGTGCCCAGTAGACTTGTGCATGGTGGAAAAATTAGTTTTGGCTGAGCCACTATGTCAGGTCATCAGAATTTAAGTACCAAAAAAAAAAAAATTGGGGGATAGAAATTAGGGGCAGCAGAATCATTAACTTACCACTGGAACATATGGGAGGATAATGTCAAACAAAAATACTCTTGATGATAACATTTTTGCCGGAGTGTAGTTTATGTGCCTCTCCTTTTACTCTTGTTCTGTTCGTATACGCAACGCATACTATTTATCGCCAGTGCATATGAAGTGCTGTTTTTCATAATGGATATGTTATCAATTTTACAATGGATGGATATTTGTCCCCCTGTTTCTTTTTGTTTGTTTGATTTATATGTATTCTTTTTTTATTCCATATATTTCATTGGTCAGCATTATTATTGTTAAAAATAAAAACATTTTCAATTAAAAAATTTTGAAAAGAAATTCGGGCAGCTAAAAAAGCATGAACAAGGTATGCTGCAATGCAAAAATCTCAACAATATTGCCAAAATGTGTAACCTAATGGCTGGGCATATCAGACATTTTTGGAAAGACAAATTTGAGTTGGCTACATTACATCATTATATATCTTAAAAAAAATAGTAAGTGAGAGAACGTTACAATGATTCATTGTAATCAAAAAAATGTTTTAACCTCCCCCCCTTCCCGACTCCACTACATTTAATTGTTCCCTTAGTCACCCCCAAATGTCCCTAAGCCCTCCATATTACCTATTTTTGCATCTTTATTTTGTGCCTGGACCTAAGTCCTGGGAGCCGCCATCTTTGTGTGGGTAGATGAAGTCCTTGTGGTCACCTGCCCACACTAGATAGCGCTGTGAAATTCCCCCACATGCCCAGTTAAACACTTGGGCATGCGAACGGGAATTTAATCTATTCATTCATTTGTCAGAAAGACGAATACATGAATATAAATTTCATTCTTCCCGCCGCTTCCTAAGCTCCCCATGTCCTCCCTCACTCTATGGGGGTCAATATGACCCCCATAATAGCATTAGGGAGATTAAAATCTCCTGAATACCCCTACATGCTATGCCGTAAGTAGGGGAATTTCTCCTAAACAGTGGGCAGCCAATGCCCCTAACAAATGCCCCCATAGTAGGCATCTGTTAACTAGCTATGCCTATGCCCCCCCCGAGCCACGCGGGTGGGGGCTATAAAAGTAAACGGACATAGGGTCCCCCTTGGCCCTCACCCATGAGTGGCAGGTAGTGGCCTAAATAAAAATGGGGGGTGGGACCTATTGTCCTCCTACCAGCCCCCACCCCTGAGCGGCGGATGGGGGCCCTAATTTACAATAAGGGGGGGACCTATTGTCCTCCCCCAGCCCCCACCCATGAGCGGTGGGTGGGGGCCCTAAATGAAAATGGGGGGTAGACCTAGAGTCCTCCCCCCTAACCCTGTGCGGTGGGTGGGGGCCCTAAATAACAATAAGGGGGGACCTATTGTCCTCCCCCCTGTCCCCCACCCATGAGTGGTGGGTGGGGGCACTAAATAACAATAAGGGAGGTGCACCTAGTGTCCTCTCCCCTTGACCCCACCCCTGAGCGGTGGGTGGAGGCCCTAAATAACAATAAGAGGGACCTATTTTCTTTGTCCTCCACCCCGGCCCCCACCCATGGGCGATGGGTGGGGGCTAAGTGTAAATACCCCCCCAGATGACTAAGGGTCCCCAAGCCCCTTGTCACCACCACACCAACATTTTTTTATAAAGACCTACCTACCCCCCTCACTCTAAAAATAGTGAGGGGGGGGGGAACAATAAAACTAAATCCCTGTCAATAAAAAATAACTTACCATTTGATGTCTTCTTTTTTCTAAAATCTTATTTTTTCAGCCCCAAAAAAGGCCAAATAAAAAAATTCATAATACCCATTGAACTTTAAAAAAAAAAATCTGAGCTAAAAAAAAAATCCAGACAAAAAAAAACAAAAACCTGACGCTAATAAAGTAATCCATCTTCACCCATGGAGGGCACCGCACAGACTGAGCTCCGCAGGGTCGGGAAAGGCTTATAAATAGAGTAGAGCGGACACCTGGATGTTCGGGTTTGCTGAGTTCGGCCGAACTTTGTCAAAAAGTTCGAATTCGAGCTCAAACTTGACCCGAACTTGACCCTGAACCCCATTGAAGTCAATGGGGACCCGAACTTTTGCGCACTAAAACGCCTCTAAAAAATTCCTGGAAAGGGCTAGAGGGCTGCAAAAGAAAGTAAAATGGGGGTAAGAGTAGGACAAGTGTCCTGCAAACAAATGTGGATAGGGATATAACTTAAAATAACATAAAATACATAAAAATTTAAAATAATAATCTTGAACTAGGAGGAGGAGGTGGATGTGTAGTAGGAGGTTGAGGAGGCGGTGACCACAGCGGTGTAGGTGGAAGCGGCGGTGGAGGAGGAGGAGGTAGCCAACACTGTTTATTTATTTATTTATTTTTTTATTGGGTAGCCCCCAAAATATTGGAACATATAAAAAAAGAAACATTTGCGGCCTGAGGTGCATTTCTTGCAGTCCAATAACGCCATCAGGTTTTTAAAACTGTCCGTCTCCACCAGACGGAATGACAGCATTTCAAAGGCCAGAAATTTTGAAATGCTGGCATTCAGAGCCAGGGATCGCGGGTGGGTAGGGGGGTACTTCCTCTTTCTATCCAGTGTTTGGGAGATGGACAGCTGAACGCTTCCATGGAACAATGTGGAGATGCTTGGGGACGGTGGTGGACGTGGTGGCGTTGCTGCAACATCCTCTGTTTGCGGGGTGGAGGAAGAGGCCGAGACAGCAGCAGAAGAGGAAGCAGGAGGAGCCTGAGACCTTTCTTCGTTTTTGAGGTGCTTACTCCACTGCAGCTGGTGCTTTGCATGTAGATGCCTGGTCATGCATTTTGTGCTCAGGTTTAGAATGTTTATGCCTCGCTTCAGGCTCTGATTGCACAGTGTGCAAACCACTCGTGTCTTGTCGTCAGCACATTGTGTGAAGAACTCCTTGGAGCTGGCTTTGGTGTGCTCGGTCCCTGGGTGTGGTGGGCAGTAGTAGGCATACTGTCTAGGGGACGGCCGCTCCGCTTTTGCACCCTGCTCCCTCTTATGCTGTGCTGGTGCCTCTGTGCGACCACCGCCTCTTCCTCCAAACTGCACACGTCACTCGCATGACCTTCATTCCATGTGGGGTCTACGACCTCATCATCCTCCATGTCATCTTCCACCCACTCCTCAACCCTGCCCTCCTTGCCAGTCTGCACACTGCAGAAAGCCACAGCAGTTGGCACCTGTGTTTTTCCAGCATGTAAAGTTCACTAAGAATAACTTACTGAAATGGCAAATACTATAATTGGTACAGCCTGTAGATTAGTGATAAAGATTATGGTCCCAGGTGTGTCCTGGAGCCCTCCCAGTGTAAGTAGTCAGCTTGCGATTTGACAACTTACCAGGGTTCCACTGGGTGTTGGTAGCACCTTCCTGTGCTGGCAGGTCCTAAACAGGGGGGCTTGCTGGTAACTTCCTCCCATGGAAAGTTGTCAAGCTAGAGTGGTAATGCCGCGTGGAGTGTTAAAGATTCAAAGTGCAAGTAATCTAAATTGTATCTCCAAATATTTCATATACAGTATAATAGCAACCTATGTAAAACTTGTGCGGTATACTTTAAAGGACCACTCTAGGCACCCAGACCACTTCAGCTTAATGAAGTGGTCTGGGTGCCAGGTCCTTCTAGGGTTAACCCATTTTTTCATAATTATAGCAGTTTCAGAGAAACTGCTATAATTATGAATGGGTTAAGCCTTCCCCCTAATCCTCTAGTGGCTGTCTCATTGACAGCCACTAGAGGCGCTTGCGTGCTTCTCACTGTGATTTTCACAGTGAGAGCACGCAAGCGTCCATAGGAAAGCATTGTAAATGCTTTCCTATGAGACCGGCTGAATGCGCGCGCAGCTCTTGCCGCGCGTGCGCATTCAGCCGGCGGGGCGGAACGGAGGAGGAGAGGAGGAGGAGAGCTCCCCGCCCAGCGCTGGAAAAAGGTAAGTTTTTACCCCTTTCCCCTTCCAGAGCCGGGCGGGAGGGGGTCCCTGAGGGTGGGGCACCCTCAGGGCACTATAGTGCCAGGAAAACGAGTATGTTTTCCTGGCACTATAGTGGTCCTTTAATAACTCATTTTTCTTTTGCAGGCCAACTGAACATCCAGAATGACAAACATGCTTCAGAGTTGGGTTTTTCATTTTTTTAAGCTTGTTTTTTGATATTTATACACTTTTAAAAAAAATTTTAATTCACATGGTTAAAATCACTGAAAAATTTAAATTGTAAAGTCTGCAAAGGACATATGGAAATTGTTTTAGAATTGTATCCAGGCAACATTTTTCCCTATAAACTGACCTCTCAGTTTGACTTGTGAGGGTATTTCCCCAGAATTACAATATTGTTTAAGTACCTCTTAGCTATTGATAACTGGTTTAAATATAGCAGCTTGTTATCTGGTAGTTTCTAGTGTAGAAAATATAAATCTGTTTTCTATCACTTAGATCTGTTTAACAAGTGTTGTAGGTGTGAAACAATATTACATGTGACCGATGTAGTAAATTCGAATCAAAGTTCCATTTGCAAAAAAAATTCTCGCCCATCTTCTGTGGGTTATTGCATTTTAAAGATGTAGACTTATTGTATCACACTAGCCATGCACAGATAGATTGTCTGGCACGTTGTTTTGGTGTTTGGTTTTTAACTTTGTAGTTGTGTCTTAACACAATATAGAAATGTATATTAATGCTTCCGTATATGAAGCGATCACAATAACACTTTTTTAAAAAAAAATCACATGAAAGGATGCTGTATGATTTTTAAAAAAAGAACACACTACATGGTGATCCTGTTCACTAGAGTGTGTAGTCATGAATGTAACCAGTAAAACTTTGTTTTTACAGGTACTGGTTGGCCCATACATATTTTAAAACTTGTTTAATTTTGTTATAGTATGACTTATAGTCTTGTTTTTAACTTGTCTATAATACATATTTTTGTATGACAGTATGTTTTTTCATTGATTATTGAATTTTAATGGTCTAAGATAATTAACATGTCAACAGGCAAACGTAACCCGAATTATTTGTCTCAGTCTTGCCTTCTATACTACCTGCAACATATGCAACATTTATTTGTATTTAGACTTTCTTGAGAAGCGGTAACTAGCCAGTGTTGCACACATACACCAGATATGAAGTGCACACCCCAAATGTACTATTTAGCACCCAAAAAATTAGAATTTTTAAAACTGCGATGTAACCACAGTATTTGACGGTTCTATTTGACTCTCAGATATGAAGTGCACACCCCAAATGTACTATTTAGCACCCAAAAAAATTAGAATGGTTCAAACTGCGATGTAACCACAGTACTTGATGGTTCTATTTGACTCTCAGATATGACGTGCATGCCCCAAATGTACTTTTCAGCACCAAAAAAAATTTGATTTTTTAAAACTGCAATGTCACAGCAGTATTTAAAAATGCTTAGATGTTGCCCACTGAGCTCACAGCAGTATTTAACAATGCCTAGATGTTGCCCACTGAGCTCACAGCAGTATTTAAAAATGCCTAGATGGTGCCCACTGAGCTACCAGAACAGGATTAAAGTAATGTGCCTTGCACATTAACAGTCTGATTGAATATTTCTCTGTGGCACTGGGCTCAGGGCAGGGTACAATAATGTAGGATAGCACCCACAAAAATAATCGCTGTAGTTTGCAGATTCAGCACCTGAATTCTTTCCTAATCTGTCCCTCACAGCTGCAGCATCCTCTCCCTACACTAATAACAGCTCATGTGACGTGCGGCGCTACGTCACTCCAGCTTATTTAGAGCCTGGGTCACATGCTGCACTGGCCAATCACAGCCATGCCATTAGTAGGCATGGCTGTGATGGCTTCTAAGGGCACACGAGTCAAAGCCCTGCAGCTTTTCAAAACGTGGCATGAAATCACCGAACACCGAACTCGAACCCGAACATTCTCTGAAATGTCCGTGTTCGGGTCTGGGGTCCAAAAATCATAATGTTCGGTACGAACCCGAACTCTACTTATAAAGCCTTCCCATGCCCTGCAATTAGACTTTGAGCACTCTGATTGGTTAGTTTAAGCCAACCAATCAGAGTGCTCTGACAGGTAAATGAAGAGAATGACAGGTAAGTCTCTACATTTACCTGTCACAGCACTCTAATTGGTTGGCTTGAAATCCAACTTGTAATTTGACTCATAACACTGTGATTGGTTGATTGAAAGCAACCAATCAGAGTGTTGCTATGAGTCAAATTACACAGCATGGGAAAATTCCAAAGAACTTTTCCACGCTGTGTAAAATGACACAGAGCACTCTGATTGCTTGGATTTCAAGCCAGCCAATCAGAGTGCTGTGACAAGTAAATGTAGAGACTTACCTGTCATTCTGTTAGGAAGAAATTCAGGAGCCGGCGTTCTGTCTAAGTGACAGGACGTTCGGGAATACTGACAGGAAGCATCACAAGATCACAGAGGAAAGGTAAGAATTGTTGGGAAATTGCTTTGACCACAGGAAACAGAGCATACTTTGTTCCTCTGCTTGTCAAAGCTGGTCAAGCGTAGGAAACCTCCATAAGACAAAGTAGTCCCTACTTTGTCCTGTGTTTTAATGAAAACTAGAGCAGACAGGAAGAAATGAAGAACAGATCCTGTTAGAGGGAGAGCAGAGGAATCGATTAAAGAAAGGTAAGTTCGGCATGACAGTGCTGCTTTAAGTAGAGGTGATTTTTCAAAAAAGGAAAAGGAAAAAGTCAATAGGTAATTGACCACCCACTTACCTCTTTACCATGAGAAGAACAAAACTTTCCCACCTATCCACTCGATAGCGTCAATGACCTCCTTATGTGTGGAAAAACACAAAGCGCTATCAGCTTCTAACAACAGCATCCTTGAAGCTAGCAGGCACACTGCAAGACTTAGCCAGACAGAGCGAAACCACTCAAAAATTAAAAATTTATTTTTAAATCATAAATTCAAAACATCTTGTGAAAAAATGGGAATTTACTGACCACAAATGGGGTTAGCAAATTAGCACTTAAAACGGATAGATTAAACTGAATATTTCTGGAGAAATTGTGTTTTAACAAATGATACAAGCTGTAGTCTTAACCCCTTACTACTACCAAGCACTTTTTGAATGAAAAAATATTAGCATAACATTTATTTGAATAAAGGGATGCATAGCTAGCAGATATCATAACACAGAAAATTTGTAAAGAGATGGCTACGATGACAAACTTAAAACTTAAAATTATGTACACAATTTTTATTTTTCACTTATTCATTTATCCTTTATAAAAACATTTGGGAAATGAAATACTTAAGACAAAATAAAGTGTCCTGCAGTATTAAAGCAAAAATGCTGTTTTCTCACATATTGTATGTGTGACAAAAATATATAATTACAAATAGTCAAATACCTTGCCCAAGTATTTTAATAACAGCTTTAAAAAAATGAAAGGAAAAAGTGAGCGGGCAATTGGCAACCCACTTCTGAGAAGAACAAACCTCATGCAGTCATCCAGTCGGTTCTGTAGCATCTGTGACCATCCTGCACGGTGGAAAAACACAGTGCCCTGTCTTTGCAGAGGTAGCAGACAATGTGAACAAAGTGATGACTTCTCCTAAACTGATATTATTGTCACTCAAATATTCTGCAACATCCGGGGCGGAGCCCAGCTTCTGAGTAGAGCAGACGTGGGGAATCTTCGGTTCTGCGTTTTGAGCCCATTTTGTGGTGAGAAAATCTGCAAACTGACAACCAAACCCACCCAATGGCACCACCTGAGCCCCTAGGGCACCGCCTAAACTTCTGCCGTGGCCTGTTGGGGATGAGATTGGGAGAGGCGGCCTTGTTTCCAGACCCCGAGTCCGTTCTCACTGCTATCCTACCCCTCCCCCTTTGGACCGGTCCCCACTAGTATATCTTGAGTGACTCACTCTGCACTTAACTTGGCTTTCTGGTCGCGGCAGAGCTGAACTCCGACCATGCGGCTCATGCAAAATGGCGATAGTCCTCTCCACTGATCAAGGAGCACTGGGCCTGCCTAAACCGCCTCACCCCGGTTCTTTGGAGCACACCCTGCACAAGCTCGACGAGATATTCCAGAGCTTCTGGGCACAACTATATGACCAGGCACAAGTTGCCATGATGGAGCATGGTGCAGCCAGTATAGGAACCAACCTGTCAAAGCCCAACAGCCCTCCTCAAGGCAAGCACACAACACCTACGCCTGTTCAACCCAACGCCTGCCCCATTGGTGTATCCTGGTTTTGTGCTGCCCTAGGCATGCCAAAATTCAGGTGCCCCACCCCCCCCTCGCACCACCCCCCTGCAACCTCCCTTTCCCCGCCTTCTAAACACACACACATTCACTGACAGACACGCATACACTAGCTAACAGACATACACACTCACTAACAGACACATACAGTCACTAGCAGACACACACCCTGCACAAGCCTAGTAGGGGGTCTAGTTGTTAAAGACCATCATCAACGAGTAGTCTTGAAGCGTGGTAACATGCACACTTCTCTCGCATTCATATCATGTCACCATTCAACAACCTCACTTAGCGCATGTTTGCTGTGA